AGAGAGAGGCAGAGAGACAGAGAGAGAGAGACAGACAGACAGACAGACAGACAGACAGACAGACAGACAGACAGACAGACAGGCAGACAGGGAGTGCCCGTCATCCATCTTTCCATCCTAGTCAACATCACAAGAAAGAATACACACAAAGAAGCCTACTGACCTGCACAAGTCCCTGGTAGGAGTCTTGCAGGAACCTTGGGGGGTTATCATTGACGTCATCCACCACCACGCTGACCACAGCCGAACTCAGCAGCATGGGCAGGCCGGAGTCGTGTGCCTCTATCAGGAGGGAGTACGTGGCCGTCTACATGGAGAATAAGATCGATGAAAAATAAAGGATAAGATAAGAATAAGATGAAGATAAAGATGAGATGAGAATAAGATGAGATGAGGGAAAGATAAGGAGAAAAAAAAATAAGACGAAAAAAGGATAAAGAAAGAATAAGAAAAATGATAATAAGATAAGATAAGGTGAGAAAAAGTGAGAAAAAGATAACATAAGAATAAGATAATATGACAGGAATATGAGAAGAGGATAAGATAAGACGAGAGAAAGGTAACATAAAAATAATATAAAATGAGAGAAAGACAAGGAGAACATAAGAAAAGATAAGAAAAAGATAAGATTAAAGAAAGTTAAGGAGAGAATAAAACAAGATGAATGAGAGAAAGGCGAGAGGAAATGATAAAATAAGATAATAATCCAAAAACAAAACAGTTAAGAATTATAATGATAATTGTTTATTATTATTATTATTATTATTATTATTATTATTATTATATCTAGATATTGTGCATTTTATTATCATTATTATACTGAAATGTTATGTCTTTTTAATTGCAATTGTATTGACAGACTATATTTTTTAATAATCATTACTGTATCTAAAAGAGTTGTTTTCTGATAATTTTGATTGTTGTAATTTTGATTTATTCAGCTTAAAAAAAAAGAAATTATATTTTTCTAAAATCATCCCTATTGTACAGATATAATTTATTCCTCCCCCGACAAGGTAGCAAAGAAAAAAAGTCCCCGACTGACCTCCTCTCTGTCCAGGTGAGCGTTGACCTGCAAGATCCCGTCCCTGGGGTCGATGATGAAGTGGTTGTTGGTGTTTCCGCTGATGATGCTGTAGGTGATCTGAGCATTGGCAAGACTGTCGCTGTCTGTCGCCATCACCTGACGGGTGGTATGATAGGAGGAATGAAAAGAAAGACGGGATGAATGCATGTTCAAATACACAGAATGAGATAGTGGAATATATTTTTTCAACAATATAGAAATAAGCAGCAGAGGAGAAAATCTCTTCAGTTTCGTTGACATAAATCGGATTGCATGATGCTTGCAGAAGATGTGAATTCTATTCTAGAGTGAGGAAGTTTTTTTTGGTCAAAGTTTCTCTTATCTGATAATAATAATAGTAATAATAATTATAATAATATAATAATAATAACATTACTGGGATACTGTGTCCCACTCAGCTCAGGTTGGCCCTCACAGGCAGTGTTGAAACAACCTGCCCCCTACACAACATTAATTGCGTCGATTGGAGAAACATTTACAATTACACTCAAAATCGTCCAAGATATATGCCCATCCAGTATTGAAGAGAAAAGTGGTTGTTTTAGACAGGTGAACGACTTGAAAAGTGTAACTACAATGTATAAAAAATACAAGGGAGGAAGTAAGAAGTGACCAGATGTGTGGGTGATTGGCCTATACAGGAGGAATGAAAAGAAAGGCGTGATAAATGTTCAAATATACAGAATGAGATAGAATACATATTTTCGGGTGGCCGTTAGGGCAAGTTCAACTGTATTACAACCATTAAGCCGAAACTTACTTTAAAGATCTCTGTCCCCTCATGCACATTCTCCTTCACATGGACGGTGTAAGCATCCTGGCTGAACCGTGGGGGGTTGTCGTTGACGTCTGTGATGTTGATACTGACGATGGCTGTGTTGGTAAGTGGAGGCGTGCCTCGGTCAGTGGCCAGTACCGTGATGAAATATTCTCGGGCCAGCTCATGGTCAAGAGGTTCAGTGACCACAAGGACACCTGGAAAAGTGAAACAACAAGATTTGTTGGTTAGTTCAAAAAAGTTGTCAAGGTGTTATCAACACAATTTGGTCGTGTCGGTTCCAAATACTGAATCTATTTCTTAACCTTACCCTTCCTCAATAGTGATTGAAAAGATGGACAGACATTTATAGAAATAAGTCTGTGAATAAGTTTTAATAAAATCTCCTACTTATTAACAATTCTAAAAGAACACATATACAATATACAAACTTTGCAAACTTAAATCTTTTTCTCTAAACCAATTTTCTAATAAAAGCAATGGCCCTCTACATCAGAACACATAAACAACTGACGGATCTCATTTGCATCTTTTTTTTTTAAGGCAAACATTAAGCAAGACAATGTTATGCTTCCTGTTTTGCAGTCAAAACATATTACGCAATGTACAATGTTTTATTCATACTATACAGTCAGAGGAATTCACAGTTTATCTTACATTTTAAGATTTAATTTCACATTCATTATACACTCATTTCTCATAATATAGATGCATTATATCTTGCAGTGTAACGATTAGGCTCTCTATCGGTGCACGCAGAAGATGTGAGTTCACTTATTGCATGGGGAAGTATTTATATCTCCGTCTGTCTGCAGTGACTATACCTGACAGGCAAGGTTGAAGCAGCCCACCCTTTAAATCATCTAAACAGAGTAGAAGTGGGTGTAATGCATAAACATTACAATGACAATTTTTCCATCAGGCTAATTAAGGGTCAGAGGTCACCCACCTTTGTTTGGGTCAATGGAGAATTTCCCCTGCTCGTTGCCGGCGGCAATGGAGTAGGTGATGTCAGCATTGATGCCGATGTCCAGACTGGTGGCAGTGATTTTGATGATGGGTGTGCCCACATTGGCCGACTCCTGGATTGTGGCGTAGTAGCTAGAGTGTTGGAATTCTGGTGGGTTGTCATTGACGTCCAGGACGGTCACCATAATGGTCGCTTCCGTGGAGAGGTCAGGAGAGATCTGTCAACACAAAAAAATATCAGTGATGAAGGGTTAACATGTGAACGATAAATGTTTAACACATGGGTGATGAAGGCTCAACATAGTCACAATAAAGGTTGACCACATGAACAATAGAAGTTTAACACTTGAATGATAAAGGTTACTTAATAAAAATTAAAACGTGTCACAAAATAATTCAAAATAAGGCTTACAACGCTGTCATATTTTTCAAAAGTCAAGTCATCTTATTCATAATTATATATGTTCTGATATCTTAAATTTTGCCCAGTGGGACCATTTCAGAAAGGATAATGAAAGATAAATGACGAACCTGAAGAAAAATGTAAATGCTTACAAAACCTTATCCAAGGTCACAAACAAGAAGTTAAAAAACTCATGAAGAATCCCCCTACACTCACAGGATAATATACTACTGCAGAGAGGTTTGAACCCAATACTCATAAGATTACACACTGCAACAATAAAGTCCAAACCCAGTACTCACCGGATTATATGCTACAACAGTGAGGTTGTAGCTTGGGTTCCTCTCCCGGTCTAGTGCGGCAATGAGGCTGACAATGCCACTGTCTGGGTGGATGCTGAATGTGTTGATACTGTCTCGGGCCAGGCGATACCGGATCTGACTGTTGATACCTGCAAGTCGATAAAGGAGAAAAATTTTTACTTTTCATATTTTTGTTAGTTCATTTGGTTGTATGTTTTCATTTTGTAACCAGAACTGACTTCTATATAGGAGCATCATACAACCCCCCCCCCCCCCAAAAGAAAAAAGATGTCTGTGATCCCTCAATGTATCACATAATTCTGCATAACACCCGTTCTCACCTGTATCTGCGTCAATGGCCACAAGGCGTGTCAGCAGTGTGTGTATTTCTGCGTCCTCGTGTATGCTGTATAACTTGCGCAGTGTGCCCTGAGTGAAGGTTGGCGCATTGTCGTTGACATCCTTCAGGTAGATAAGTACGAGAGTCGTACAGCTCAGCCCGCCCCCATCACGGGCCACAGCAGTCAGCTCAAACTCCGGCTGTGTCTCTCTGTCCAGAAGTTTTGCTGTACGGATCAGGCCTGTGAGATAGAGAAGTTGAGTCATGTATTTATATAAAAGATAGCTGCACTGTGTCACTGGCTTAGTTTTAGTAAGAGTTTTACAGCACTTGCAAAACAATAAGGTCATTTAAGTGCCGAAGAATAGATGTGTTACAAGAGTAACATACACATAAAGAAGGAGGAGAGATAAGGACAATAGATGTTTGATAGGAAAGAAGGAGCAAACCACACCAGAGTACCCACCAACCACCCACTGTCACTGATTGAGTTATGCATTTATAGGAGAGATACTTGTGTTGTGTTATTGGTAGTAACATGGCATATCACATGTGACAAAGGAATTCTACAGACCTATGTTTAAGGAGCAGAAAAGTGGGAAGACATGGAATAGTATCAACAGGCTAGTCCAGAATAGGGAAAGATTGGAAAAAGTTTATTCTTGGCCTATACCCTGATCCAGGGTAAAAGTGGCAATGATGATATTTATAGACACCTTTATAAACTTCTTACTGTGACATAGCTTTTTTAAAAGCTTCAGTGAGAATCCTTGTCTTTGTTTCCTGTCAAAATTAATCAACCAAAGTCATTGACTAATGAAGTTCCCCCATTTACCTCTGTATCCCGGTAAATCCCTGAGGTCCAAATACAACACATCCACCAGTGATCATATTAGTCAGTCCTATGAGCCCTATCACCCTGGGCCTACAGGACCTGTGAACCTGATCTTCTTTGTGTCGACTGATAGATATACACAACAGTACACTCTGGAATTGAAGGGTAAAGTAGTCATGCTCACACTCACTGAATCAAGAAAGGCCACCCTAACCTCCGAGTAAATTTACCATGTCTGTCGCTACCTCTGGATTACAAAGTTCTATCTGCCTATTATGTAGTTTTAAGAAATTTGATTTCAAAATCTTTTCAGTCTCACAATATGTCAAGCTTTTTCGAATTAAATTTTTTGAATATCTTGATAACGACTCTGATAATTCTTTCTGACCTCATGGTCTTTGTATCTCAAAATGGCCAAAAATGAAAAATAGAACTTTGTATTTTTGGGGTTGTGCAGTGACCTCGGCAGAGCCTACCTTGACCTCTGAGTACACTTACCAGTCTCTTTGTCAATAAGGAAGTGGTCAGCTCCCTCTCCTGTGAGGCTGTAAGAGACCCGAGAGTTGACTGTGCTTGGGGCGTCCGCGTCTGATGCTCTCACATGAGCAATGGGAGTGCCTTTGATGATGTCTTCATTCTGAACCACTTGATGAATCGGCTGAGGAGAGAAATTAGAATTAATGAATTTGTGCAACTTCATGACATGAGTTGGCTTAGTAAAGTGAGTAAATTAGACAAGTTGTTGCTACCTTATGACCAAAGTTCTGTCTGAGTTTTGACCTTGAATAAAGAGAAACACATTGTGACATAATAACAGTCATGTAGCGCTGGGAAAAAGCAAGACAGACAGACAGCCTGAGAAGAGAACAAATGACTTATCTAGTTTCAAAACAATCAATTTTTATCATCATTTAAACAAAACTTTTCCATTTTCAAGCTTGCTTTTTTCTCTAGTCTTCACAAGAGTCTTTTTGCTGTTTGAAAATAGGTGCCGTACATAAAATTTCTGCCATACCTGATCACAGACTGGAGCGTTGTCATTGTCATCGAGAACATCAACAGTGACTGTGGTAAAAGTGACATAAGCTCCATCTGTGGCTGCCACACGTAGTCTGTACTGAGCTTTGGTCTCTCTGTCCAGGGGCTTGTTGACAAACAGCTCTCCTGTACTGTGAATCTGAGCAGGAGAATATACAATGACGTCATTAGAAATTAATGAATCCACACAGAAAATATGGAAATGTAAGGAGAAGGGAATTAATCTGAACAGAGAATGCAGAAAATGAGAAGAGAAATCAAAAGTAATTGCTAAAATAATCAACCCACATTATGTGTAGATGGGTGGGAAAGTAAAATTTAAGACAAACTTTTTGCTGATACTTCTCAATCTTAATGCACTGATCATAATCGAAGGAGTTATTAATAGGAAAGGACAGTGATAACAGGCTTTGCATCAGCAGTTACGGCTACAAGCAATGAAGGAAGCATGTTACAGTTTACTCTTCCCAGCTGGCAGTTTATTAACCCCACAACAACAGACCTTGAACCATCTAAAAATTTCCTCACCTCAAACCTCCCCAGCTGATCTCCCTCTGTGATGTAATAAGTCACGTCAGAGTTGGGTCCTGAGTCGGCATCCGTCGTGTCCAGTGTAATGAGCACCGTGCCTGGTAGTGCTCCCTCATTGACCGCAGTGGGGTAGTTCTGTTTTTCAAACGCCGGTGGGTTGTCATTGCAGTCTGTGACAGTGATGAGAACGCTGGTAGTCGTGGTCAGTGACGGATACTGACCAGACTTACGCAGCGAGGACGACGGACTGTCTGACACTACGACGGTCAAGTTGTACTGGGACTGGGTCTCGCGGTCTAGTTTGGTCAGCAGCATAATCCATCCACTCTTAGCATCGATGGAAAAGATGCTGGCCATTGCCTGCATACCGGGGCCGAAGGTGAACTTGAGCGGGTTGGTCTGAAGGTCACGATCGGACGCTTGGAGTTGTATGATCTGATGTTGAGACTTGGCACTCTCGGATACTGTCGCTTGGTATGGTGTGCAGGCGAAGAATGGTGGGTTGTCGTTCACATCACGCACCTGGAAGGAAAAAACAGAGAGAGAGAAAAATTGACTGCAGCTCAGAATATCCACAGAAAAAAAATCGTTGGAAGAATTAACCCTTGGAGCCCTGTCTTTGAGACCTGTCTCAGAATATCCACCAATAAATCCAAACCAGTATTTCAAAATAAAAGAAGTTTCCTTTAGTTTCTGTACTAGTAAAAATTAATCTCCTAAAAAGGATTTCGGAAGGTAATTTTCAAAGGACCTCACCTCAATTCCAATTTCCATGTGATCCACCAAAGCTGGTGAAGTTCGACTCTGAGCCCGGACAAACAGTCTGTATGATGGAGTTGTCTCCCAGTCAAGACGTCGCATCAGTCGCAAACGACCCAAAGAATCCACGGTAAAGATGGCTGGTTTATTGGCACTTGGAGTGAAACCTTGTACAATGCTGTAGACTACTGGCCCAGAGCTGCGAGCCTTGATTGTGGCAATGATTGCTCCAACCTGGGGAAGAGAAGAAATAATAATAAAATTTGAGCTTGAAGTTGTGGGTGAAAAAGAAGCTAAACAAAATACCTAATTTACAAACACTCTAGCAGCTTGCTCGTCAGAGTGAAAAAGAAGCTAAACTAAATACCTAATTTACAAACACTCGAGCAGCTTGCTCGTCAGAGTGAAAAAGAAGCTAAACTAAATACCTAATTTACAAACACTCGAGCAGCTTGCTCGTCAGAGTGAAAAAGAAGCATATCAATAGCATACAGAATCAAGGTACATGGGAAAAACAAGTTGACACACGGATAAAACTAGGATAAGAACAATGCAGTCTCTAACCAAAAGGAGCCAAAACAGGAAACACACTGTGGAAAATGCAAATAAGAAATAAAACTAGGACTTCCTCAGACAAATGTTTAATCAAATTTTCTTAAAGTACACATTTGTTTCATAACATTTCCTCCCAGAACGGACATCATTTGTGACAGTTATTAGTAACACACAAACAGACCTGCTCATCCTCATCCACAAAGAAGAGTCTGCGAGACTCCAAGAACTTTGGCGGTGAGTCGTTCCGTCCCATGACCAAAATCTCCACAGGGATGTGACTCTCCAGGGAGGGCTCACCACCATCTGCCGCACGCACAAAGAACTGGAACAGCTGGTTTTCTAAGGAAAGGGAGAAAAAGATCGGTCAACACTCAGTAGTCATAGCTAGGGAGAAGTAGATGAGAAACAGATTTTATTCAATTAAATG